CAGGAAAATGTGTTTTGTTTCTCTTGTCGCTCAGTTTCAAATCCAACTCTCAGTGGTTAGATACTCGCACTGTACTGACGATGACTCACCCGACTTGCCATTCAAAAAAAGACATTGTCCTTTGGTGGGAATAGTAATGAATTACTTAGTCCTCCTGTGCAGGCACAGAGGCATTAGTCATCATCAGTCAGGGTGTGTTAAGCTCTGCTCTTTGAATCCAAATAGATCCAGAGGTTCAGGTCCTGCTGTTGGAAACTCTGGTGGTTATTTGGGATTTTAACCTTCAGCTCTAAGGCTGCAGAAATTGATAAAAGTCCCAGCCCTGTGTTGTTACTGCTGGCTAAAGATTTGACGATTCAATAATTCAGTACTTCTCAAATAGTGGGGCGGGTCCGCTCTGGGGGACGCACTGAGGTTCCAGAGGGGGCAATGGAATATGGCACGCTGGACAAAAATTGTACCACTGCTGTAATGCTGTAACGATAACACGCCTCCAGTCACTAGGTGGCAGCAACACATACAGTGGTTTGTACAAATGAAAAATATACATTTTATCAGGTTTTCAATTCGCAGGGGTGTGGGTCTAAGAGGGGCAGGGAGGTGTGAAAACATTTCTGTCCCCAAGGGGGCGCATGACAGAAAATAATTGAGAACCACTGCAATAATTTAAGATGCAAAGATTCCTCTCCGTCTAAGGCCAAAGAAACAAATTACCATAAAGTGGACAGGTGGGATATCAGCGCCGTCCGACAGTCTTTTTGCGAAGAACGCCTCCATGTTTTGAAAGGGGCAGCGTGCACATTTGTTAGGTTCACTGACCTCTTCCGTTTTCTATCTTCAGATCTTGTCAGCCTTGGAGCGGGACGAGCAGGCGAGGAGACAGAGACTGAGGTGCAAGCTGGAGCAGGTCATCGACACCATGGCCCTGAGCAGCTGAGGACCGTCCTCCAGCACCTCCACGTCCTCCTGCTCTCTTCACATTTTGTCTCCATTCTGTCTTTCTCTCTCTCCGTCTCCCTCGCTCTTCTCCACCAGAAAGAAGAAGAAAAAAAAAAGCTCAACTCCAACCCCCAACCATACAGAGAAAAGTGGACTGAAGCAGTGAAACTGCACACCTGGGTGGGAGGGGGGGGTTCGACAGAGATGGGCGGGGCCTGTGTTCGCTTACGTGTGTACGTTTGTGTGTCGGTCTGCAGACCCACTGCGGTGTGAGAGACTGGGACACGGGACTTTTTCGCACATGCACACGTGGAGAAACATGCGGACCGACTGACTTTGGTTGTTGTGGGTGTCGGTGTCTGTGGTTTGATTTCACCAGTTTTGTGCGACGGTCAGGAAACCTGAAAATGAACTCCATGTAGGGCGTCATCCTCGGCAGGACAGACTGGTCTGGGATCAGCCTATGGAGAGAGGCTCGCCAGGTCACGTGACCATGTCGGGCATTGAGCTTTTAAAGGTTGATAGATTTTTTTTATATATATATACAAATATATATAAAAACTGTAATCAACTGCCCACTCTTTGATCTCTCGCCACTTGTATTACTGCTGAATTTGCACAATTTACAGAAACGTTACAAAGGAAAACTATACAGATGTTATATATAAATACAGTTACAGAAAGATTAGGGAGCAGACGTTTCCATTTCGTTTCATTTTAAAACAGACAAACACCTTGAAAAAAGAAAGTCAATGAAACACAATTTGGTATTTCAAAAAATTAAAAAAAATGACGTAAACAAAAAAGTAAACAAAAAACAAAAAAAAAGAGAGAAACAAAAAGTTGTACTGTGCCATGTTTTCTTTGAATGTTGTTTAGTGCAAAGACATTTTGTTAGATGGAATGTTTTTAAATATGAACATGCCTAGTGACTGAAAAACAAACCTTTGAGTAATGATCCCGTTTTAGGTCCTCGATGAAACTAGAGAAAATGGAAGCGTGTCACAGCTGAGGCGGTGGTGTCTCGGCGAAAACATGAAGTTGCTGTTGTTTCTACTCCAGTCAGTGCAATTGTTTGGTTTCAGGAAACCGAACATATTCGTTGGATTGTTGCTTTACCACGACAACTTTGTTCGGTTCCAAAGCTGGTTCTTTTCTTCAAGGGTCAAGAAGTGAGAGTTTGGCGCACGATGACGTTGTGACTGAACAATGAAGTAGCTGTCGTTGCACTAGCAGAAATGTCCCCCCCCCCACTGGTCCCGTTCTCCTTATATTGAGAACCAAACTGCTAGGACTCCACAGGTCCTGAGTTTGTTGTCTCCGTCACTGGATTGGTTTTCTATCCAAACCTATGGGAGCAAAGTCTCGGTGCTTTCAGACTCTGTTTACGTTGTGCACAGGAGCCGAGGTGAGGGCGACTGGACCCTCGGATGAAACAAAGTGGGAAAAGCTGTTTCCAACCTAAAGCCGCCTCCTTTTTTTAGTCCATGTTTCCAATGTTAATACCCAAGTAGAGGGGCAATGAACAGATAAAGCGAGTGTCTCTCTCCATCGTTTTCTTATCTTTAGGAGACAGGGATTTCAGCTCTTTATCCAATCGGGGAGGAGAACAGAAGCATCCAGAGGTGAGACACCTCTGCTCATTAGCTACGCCAAGCTGAGTAATCCTCCTGTTAGCCCCGGGCTCTTGTTTTAAAACAAGCCTACTGCCACGTGTGGCTTAAGCTTTTTTTTTATTACTGCTCTCCTTTTTTTCTTTTTTCTTTTTTTTTTTTGAAGTCTTGAAGTCTAGGTTTTTAAATATGTGGTGAGAAGTAATGTTTTTTTTTTCTGCCTGCCGAAAAACCAAACTGTGGTCTGTAAAATGTTTTGTTGATGTTTTCGTTTGTAAATTGTATACTTTTCTTGATGAACAGAAGCTATTTGCCATTTTTTGTACACAGGTTGTTGGTTTGTTTGTTTTTTTGTCTTTTTTTTCCACATGTAAATTGTACATTTGAACGGTACACGGAAGACAAAGCTTTCTTTTGGTTTGCCTGAAAGTTTGACGACCTTGACCAAACCTGAGGTCAATTTGATTTTTTTTTCTTTTTTTATAATCTCATGGATCAAAATGAAAAAGTTGCATCCTTTTAAGCATCTGTGTCTTTGTGATGGAAATGTGACTTGCTGCTTTAAATTTTTTTTTTTTTTTGTCCAATATTAGAGGTGTTCGTGCTGATCAAAGATGAAGTTGCTGGTCATTTTAGTGCAACGTCATTTTTAAGAAAGGAAAAAAAATTGTCTGTCACATGAAAAAAAAAACACAGTGAGCACAGCGCCATCATCTGGTCTGATGTCACGTTTCCTCACATGCTTTAACTCAAGCCTCCTTCAACAGACAAAAACCTTAACATTCTTGAAGGACAACTATGGTCATGTTAGAAGTGACACTTACTTTTGTTCAATTCCTCACCAGATGAACCTTATTCACTCTGTGTTCTACTGCCGACAGTGAGCTGTATGTGTCCGTTCGACTGTTAGCTGCAGTCTCTTCACTGATGAGTACAGTGTAACGTTACACACTGCGGCCGCAGATGCATTAAGCTTTTCTTAAACTCATTCATTCTCAGGTCTGTGTCTCATTTAGCTGCTTTTCTTTCCTGTTTTTATTGATTAGCTGCCATTTGTGCGATGATCTGCGTCCGGAAACCTCTTCTTAAACAATCACCGTTAGCTGTGACGAGACAACTTGTGTTCGTTGTAGAGGAGGAATTTCAGAGAAAAGTCTCTTCATGTCAGTTGTTTGTGGGCTGTAAAGAAGTCAGCTGGCTGTGGTTCCTCTGGTTCAGTTTACTTGACTGCCTACAGTGGGAGCGTATCCATCCCTCAGTCGTGAATCTCTTGGTAAATTTCCCAGCTCTTCAGACATGTTAAGTCCCCGCAACTCCCGTCGAATCACATGAAAGTCTCGGCACAATTCTGTTTCAGACCAACCCCCTGCGGTTTTCCATTTCTGGAAACTCGATGTTTGTTTCTTTTTTCGTCCAGGAGAAGGAAGTTGCATCGCTCCAAGAAAACACGAGCAAACTTTGGGAGTTGGCAAAGGAATTTTAATACTCAGACTTCAGACTTGAAGCGACTGTCACATGTTTGCAGGTTAACATCATAGTGTAAATATTCTGTTATTTCATATTTTGCAGATTTACTACTTGTAAATAAACACGCATCAAGGAGAGATTAAACATTTTTTGCTAAATAAGATTTGACTTGGATTTTTATTTCATGTTGGTTGTTGACTTTAGGGAATCTTTCCCTTTATTTCAGAAAGGAGGTGTGAGGAGATGTATAAAAAAAGTCACATTTGTCCCAATATCCTGCTTATACGTCTATTGTAGCTTTTTAATGGACAGAACCAGAGAATGTCGTAGAAATAAGGTTGAGATTGTTCACCTTCAAGTACACGCTCCCTGTCAGCCTGCAGCCTGATAGCTCCCCTCCTCCGTCCCCCTGCCTTTCATAACAGCAGCAGCATCATTAATCATCCTCATGTGAATGTACTCCAGTGGCTCCTGGGGGTTGGGTTTCTCTGCAGGTGTTAATATGAACACGTTTATCCCCGACCATACATCATGCTCGCCCTGCCCTCAGCTTACATGGGCACTTACATGGAAGAGAGGTTCTGGATGCATTATACACTGGAGCATCAGCGAGCCGGTGTCGCTGAGGTTCTCCAGGATTTCAACAGGAAAGTTTGGAACCAAACCAAACCAAACCACCTCAACCTTTTTTTTTTTCCCCACCCTAAATCGTCAGCAGTTCGCTCTCTCTCCCTCAAAGTGGATTCAATGAGGCCAGGTAGACAGAAAATGTTATCTTTTGCAGCATGTGTAACCAGCCGGGCTAATTCAATTAAAATTCCATCCGAGGAGGAACGCTGAAATTGCGTAATGGTCGTGGGAGCACTGAATCTCGTAATGATCCTGTCAAGAGGCAAATGATCTTGTGGCGCGAACATTATGATAAATTCCTGGCGAAGCCAAAGATACTTGTTTCCGCGCCTCCCTCCTGCTCTCCCTCTCCTGCTCTCCGTGCTCGGAATTTTCCGTTACTATAGTTAATAAAGTGGTGATCTATATTTACTCCCCTCCCCTCTGCTCCTTCATCTTCTTCAGCTACAGTCTGGAGAGGCCGCTGTGTTTCATCGCACGATGAACCCTTCAGAATTAGGGTTCTACTTCAGCAAAGGAGTTTTTTTGGCAGCTGTCAGCGATGTGTTGTATCAGGAGTCAGAGTCTGAGTCGCTGCTTCAGGAGTTTTCATTGGTTTCTATGGAGTCTCTCAAATCCAGTCAGTAGATCAGCTGCTCCTCAGGGGACAAAGGTGACAGCCCTGACTTGTTGAGGGATGATCTCAGATGGATTACTGTCGCCAGGTCTAACTTATGACGGTGTGTGTGTGTGTGTCAATCTGTCGTAGATGAGTAGGTGTTAAGTGCAGGTACTGCCAAACTTCTGTCCACCACTGACAGGCAGCAGCTTCTCCAAACAGACGAACAGTTGATGTCAGTCTGTGTCCGAGGCCAAAGTCCAGTCCGACAAAAGTGTTCAGCTGTTTGTCTTTGTTCCCCACCAGCAGCAGGACAACTGCAGCTGTGTCCGATCACACGTCCCCCTCACTTATTTATAAAGGCAGTTCGTGCAGACGTTAAATACCACGGCTATATGCTGAAATCGACCGTCGATCTCCCCGTTAGCTCCGTGTGCCGAGGTAGAGCCGCTCTGATCGATATTCTTGTATCAACAGAGGATCAAATGTCTACCTGTGATGTGGAAGCACACGATCCACAGATAATGATCACCTGACTGTGCGGCCGCTCCGACTTCGCTGGGCTTTTTCACCACCTCCAGCTCATTATTCTGCTTTGAACTGTTATTTTTCCACAGGCAGTGTGCCGCTTCTTTTAATGATCAACTACCTGCACAGCAGCTAACAGCAAGCAGACACTTAGCAGCTCGCTGGTAAAGGAGCGTGGAGCATTTCTCAGCTAATTAGACACAGAGCTCCCCGAGGAGGCGAGACCAAATATTGAGCTTAAATTTACCTCATGGAAAAAGACACGACTCAGACGAGATTTAAATGTGTTTAAAAAAAAGCTTGAGATTGAGGGGCACGACTCAGACGAGATTTAAATGTGTTGAAGCTTGAGAAAAGCTTGAGATTGAGGGTTTTTTTTTTATAACTTCCTGATTCCCATCTTAATGAGTCATGACAGGATTCCGTTGAGTCATTTATATTTGTTATGGCCCTAACCATACATCTGGTATCAGTATCAGTAAGTCCTCGGCTACAGAAGACTGCAGTCACAGAGCAGAAGTTCAACGTCTTTGTTTAACATACAGTACAGTACAGTACAGTACATGTAGTAATACATGTAGTAATATGTGTTTTCAGTATCGCCTGTAGTATTATACATTATACTGAGTACTACACTTGCTTACATAATGACTAATGAGTGTTTTCCAATCCCAACAAAGTGCACATTTTAATATTTCTTTTGTGACGTTTACATTTACCAGCTGTACTCATTTTTCCTTTGAGGAGCATGAAACTTTACTCTCTCTCTTTACAAATAGGTTTTAATTCAAAAACACTCCTGTGTTTCTTCTGTCAGCCTGAGGTTAAAGGTCTTTTCCAGGGACTCTTTGGCATGTAGACAACTAACCTTCAGATTGATGCTTTTGTGGGAAACAGCGCCACCTACTGTGTATATTTTGCCTTTACTAATGAAAAATATTGAAAGATTAATTATTATTACTTGACTTTTTTTTTTATTTTTAGAGATGTCTGATTCAGACTTACCTTTGAGCCAAACGACTTCATATTGACCGTGTGTTCGTTTTGACCCTGCAGCCTCTCATTGGTCACCTCTGTCCCCAGAGACACACACACAGACACACACGTATCCTCCCAACATCCTGATAAAACACTTCAATCCTCCCACTGCTTTGGGTTGGAATAGGCAGTCTCTCCGTCTCCTCCACCAGATGATGGGGTCACGTCTCCCAGGATGTGGAGGAGTCTGTCTGATTAGCCCATCCAATCTTCAAAGATCCTCTGAGGAATAGAAAAATCAGCCGTGTGTGTGTGTGTGTACGTGTGTGTGTTTGTATGTGTGTGCAGACATTGTTATTGCTGCATGTGTGGAAATGCTTTCACATGTGCATTTTATCGTCCGCTCCGGCTGTGCACAAACATGCAGGGTTGATGTGCGGACCAGAGGTCATGAAGGTCAACTGCACTCTTAGCGCACGGAACGTCGTCAGTCAATTCAATCACAACTGAAGCGGCTGACGGACCAGACTGGTGAAATGCTTGGAAATGCTGCTAATGGCTTAAGTCCACACTGTCTCCATCTCTTTATTTTTCTCTTTCTCTTCATCCCTCTCTCTCACACACACACACACACACACACATCAGCCCTCGCAGACACACAATGCAGCCACCTTTGATCTTCAAATGTGAGTCTTTGCCATATTTTCTCCCTGTGTCTTGCGGCTTCAGTGAACCAAACATGAAAGGTGCTGCTTTTCCTCGGGAACCAGAATAACTCTCTTGGGTCTATTATGGCATTAGGCTTTGAGGGGCACAACAAAGAAGTCCACCCCATATATACACAATTTTCTCAATTGCTTATTTTTTCTCTCTTATTTGATTGGCTCTTGAAAGAGCCGCTCCTTAGACAATAAACACAATTATTCCCTCAGTTATTTCCGTGCTCGGTAATTAGTTACAATGTGTCAAAGAGGGGAAAAAAAGATAAAACTTCCGTTTAATGTTTTTTTAAAGATAACACCAAACAGCAGATAAAACTGAAAGAATGTTTTTACACTTTGTTTCCATGCAGTGCGCATGTGTGAATCACTTTTGAAACATTCACTTACTCTGAATTGAATGATGAATTATTAATGCCTGTCAGGCGTATCAGAGGGCGCCACATGCTCCGTAAATCCCTGAAAGATTTGGACTGGGCTGTGCCCTTTGACCCTCACATGCAGCTCATCTGTAGGCCTTTCATGTGTGATCAACAGCCTGCCTCTGAACATGCTCCTTTCACACTCGGCCTCCTCACTGCAGCCGCCGTACACACTCGCCGCTGTCACTTTGATGTCGCAGGGATGTGGCGCATCCCGCGCTCATGCATTAATTAACGGCTTCTCGGGAATGACTCAAACACAGCAGCCTGTGATCAAGTGCATTGTGGGAGTGAGATAAGGTTTGGACAGTGGCTGGCAATGGAACTGACATAGGGACCCTTAATTAGTTCAATTAATTAACCGTGGGGATTCAGGTCCCTTTATGTGTGTGTGTGTGTTTGTGTGTGTGTGTGTTCTGTACAGTTCTGACTCAGTGGGACAAATATTAATTGTTGACATCTGCTGTATCAAACCATGTCACATGAAACATTTCCTGCGAGGTGTTCGTCACCGTAGGAAGATTTTGATGTTTTTGGAGTTAAATCTCGAATGACTCAGCATTGACTGAAGCATCACGTTTATACACGTTTAACTTCACGCATTTTGTCCCTTATTCTTTTGCCCCAGCAGAGTCTCTGTAGAGACGTCAGACTCTCATTATAAGTGACTAGTGTTGATTTATGGTTAATGAGTATTTAATACACAATGCAGTTAAAAAAACTCTGATGCTAATGTTAAAAAGAATGGTTAAAATTCAACCTTTTCAAACGTTTTTTTTTCCCCCCGTCTTCATTATTTTCAGTTTTAAACCCAGTCTTTTGTGAATAAAAATAATGAAGTGCTCACTGAAGAGGAAAAGACTCTGGCACATGAAGCAGTTAAACAGAAACATAAAAAAACAATCAATCTTATAATTACCATCCTGAAATATAACTGCAGCTGCTGCTCACCAGTTTTATTTTCGGCGTTGTTATTAAAAAGCACCATCCTGCTCTTGACGTCATCGTCTTTGCCTGTTTGAAACAGAAATCCTTCTCACCAAATCTGTTGCTTTCTCCACACTGGAACCCACTGGCTGGATTTCTGGTGCTGCTTCTGCTCATCTCGCTGCCAGCCTGCTGCCAAATGCTCAGATGTGATTTTATGTACTGCAGAGATATTACAGTTCTTCTGCCCCGTTCGTCCATACATCAGCCTGTGCAGCAGTACATAAAAACCACTGCACTCACGAGCAGAAGCAAAAGCAGGCGAGTGACGAAGGCAGTGCATCAAACAGCTATGTTAATGAGTGCAAAGAGTCACTTAGCACTCTCATGCCCCCCCTTGGGGACAGACATTTTTTCAAACCCTCTGCCCCCTCCTCCAACCCACACCCCTGTGAATTAAAATACTATTGAGAACCTGATAACATATATTTTTCTGTCTATACAAACCACTGTATGAGCTGCTGCCACCTAGTGACACCTCACTGCCCCACTATTGGAGAAGTACTGTCTTAGAGGGCAGTGGAACACTTATGTCCAGCGTGCCGTATTTCATTGGAAGCCCTTCATACCCCTCCCCCCCCACACACACACCTCACTGCCCCACTATTTGAGAAGTACTGTCTTAGAGGTAACAGTAACTTACAGTAACAGACTTTTGTTACAATAGTTTTTACTCCAAGAAAATAAACAATACAGTTCAGAAGTCTGGAAATCCAGATAGAAAAAATGTTTAAAAAAAGAGTTCAGTCTGCTCAGAAACATCAATTGGTTATGATTTTTTTATGAACCCTGTTTCTTGTTGTCACTCCCTCCCGCTGTCTGCACAGTTCTCTTCTTATGGTGCCGGAGATGTGGAAAAGCACACACACCTGACCTCTTCCTCCCTTCACTGTATGGACGGCGTTGATGTTGGTGAAGGAACAGGTGATGAAAGAGTGGAGTGGAGGGTTAACTGTGTGATGAATGTTTTTACTCTGACAGACCTGGTCTAAAATATTTAATCATGATTAATCACCAAAGTGTCTGTATGAATTTCACAACTAACAGTTCAGATTTTTTTTTTCTTAGCACATTTACTACGTAAATCTCTTTAGGGAGTATCTTATATGAAATATCTGTAGCGAACGCCAGATTGTTGAACAGATGTGAGCAACATTTTCCCCAGAGGGCCAAACTGACACAGATACAGTTCATAAAGCAAAGGGTCATATATTTAATTAGACTGTGACAGATTCAAGTTGTATTTAAGCCAACCTACAGCATGTAAACAATATATGGTATCATAATTAAGTAAATGAATAGCCAAAATAAAGGGAAGCAAAGTGTAAACAATAATATAAATAAAATTATAGATAATTTATTTAGAAGAAAAATGAAAAACAAAAGTTGTGCTCCAATGTGTAGCTTTTTAGTTTAGCACATTTCTGATACTGAGCCTCATCAAACCATGTGACAGATGTCATCACTAATTTGTCAAGTTGCCAGTTGCCAATGGCAGGATGCCATAATCATTTTCTGGCAGATAAATCTCCTCCACAGGCCGCATCTGGCACCGGGTCCATATGTTCCCCATGTGTGTTCCAGGAGGATAAGGCTGTGCTGCACCTGCGTTCTACAAATCCTCGTCATTAGCTGTTCCTTCAGGGGTCACCATGGAAGAAGTCACTGTCTCCCCCACATGGTTGTTACACCAACCATCTTCATGTCTACCTTTATCCACTCATCTTTTTTTTTTTTTCAGGGTGTACATACCAACAAACACTGAATGAGGGCGACGTTGACCCAGGACAGTTCACAGGGACCATGTCCAGTCAAAGGTGTGTGAGTATGGATGTTCGTAACCTTTATCTAATTCTTAATCTTTCTTATTTTGGCTGTAGGAGAAGCACCAGGGATTAAGCCAGTCAACCTGATCTTCTGGCTGTCATTCCTCGTCCAAGCTCCTCCCCCTCAGCCCCTCACCCCTTGGCCCCAACAAAAATCTTGATTGTCATTGACATTTAAAGTAACATCATATTTTTAAATGAATCAAAATCATCTCCACATCTTCAGTTCTGCTAAATTTCAAATTGTACCAGTGATTGTGAAACAAAACATCAGAGCAGGTCTCACTACTGCAGTTCACATCTCAGTTCCTTAAACAGATTAGGAATAATGTTATATAGACTTTGTGGGGGTTTTGACGTGGGCCGATGGAAGTACCAATGATATTGGAGATTGAGTTGCCAGACAGAAGTAATAGAAAAGAAGAGTGCCTTTAATAATACAATTGAATTATGTTTGGTCATAATGGAACATACAGAGAACACCCCCAAATCAAATGTCCTATTGTTTGACTGCAGAGATGGAAACAACCAGAATGAAGGTGTTCTGTTGTTGGTCATTTAACTCACATTCTGTTGATTCAGTTCATCCAAACTTGCAATTGTTTTCCAGGCAAAGTTTTCTATGATCTCCTGACAAAAAAACCCCACAACATAATGCAGAGTGATGTTGATTGGATGGTGTCCTGGTGGTCACTGTTGGACCTCAGTCATGTTCTTCTGCACTCACCAATCACTGTTCTGGCTGAAGAACCTGGAGCTGACATGAGCTCAGGTGGAGGACATGGTGGAGAATGTTGATAGGGTCTCTGCTGGCTCCTCTGCTCCACCTCTCCAGACCCTCACTAACTTCCCTACTTTCCTGCCTCCCTCTACTTTGCCCCACACGATTCAGTGGAGCAGGGAGAAAAACAGAGGAGCCCAGCCTTCTCCACCCGGTCAATATCACACACACACACCTGCTGCCTCCCCATGTCATGGTCTTTTCTCTCATGCTCTCTCTACACTGCTTCAGGGCCCCCTCCTTACAAATCAGACACTAGAGAGCAGATTTTATTTTGGACAGTTTGGTTTGCCCCACAGTGAAAAACAAACAATTTTTCACTTTAAAAAAATACTTTTTTCAAACACAATTTTTTTAAGAAATGCCTTGACATTTAACGCAGACCGGAAGTTTAAAATGTTATGAGATATTAACTTGTTTGTTTATAGTCCTCGGGTATAAAGAAATATTTCACTTCTCTCAGAAAATGTTTTGGACAGGTAACACACATACACAGTACACACCAGTACACACCTCCCTGACACTTTCTTCATCACTCATACTTTACTCTTTTTGTTTATCCCTGGCTGCTTTGACTCAAGGTGAGATGTGAGGCTTGGAAAGAAGTGAAGCAGCCGCAGCCAATGTTCACTGTTTGTCTTTTAAAAGGTCAGAGTGAGACGGTTAATACATTTATAGCATGTAGAGACAGTTTGACGGATGCACACCTACACAGCATGTTACAGCACTGCAGAGTGACAGTATTAATTACATTCACGCATTTAACTCCCACTGTTGTTGCTCCATCTTACTGTCGTATTGATATTAGCCGTGTGCTATTTTCCTGTCAAGCTGCGTCCAGCGTTTCTCCACAGACATCACTGGCAGCTTTTTCTCTTGGCTTGACGCTCGGTGGCCTTTCTGTCTGACCTTCACATTAAATGCTTATCTTCGACCGACTCTGTAAAGTAATAAAACAATATTATAAAGATTTCTTCAGATCTTTTTTAGTAGCAATTGATGATAAATAGTATCTCAGGATTGACTCCTGTCACAAACAATAATACTCATTAAAAATATGGGTACGTTTTCCTCAATTTCAAATGTTATTCTTTGCTTCTTTAAACTCTCACATTGATTTTTGATCGATTTAAAAAAGAAAATCCAAATTCAGTTTAGGTCACAATTTCCCACAGGGCAGTCCATCTGAACATGACCTTTAGGCTGCTCCTTACTTGAGTAAATTTCTAAAAGGAAAAAAATAAATAGAATACACTGAAACATGAATAGACATCTCTGTAAATAAAACTGTAAAATGATGCAAATGATTATAGAAGTGCTTTAATATAAACTTATATACAAACAAAGTTTTTTCTGGAACATGCAGAGCCCTTTGGATCGTTGGGGCCTTCTCTGTGCAACAGGACTGCAACGAGAATGAGAACGCTTCATCCATTTTTAATGTAGGACCTATGGTCGGGAGGGAGAGATAAAAAGAGAAAAGACAGTAAAGACGGCAGATAGTTAGATAGATAGATGTAGATTTGTTGAACCTCAGTATCTTGGCTTTGTTACACTTCATGACAGCTCAGTGCGATCCTTCTATATTGTTTTTCCTGTTTTGTATCTATGATCGTTTCTCTCTCTCTCTCTCTCTCTCTCTCTCTCACTCTCACTCTTATTCTTGAAAGTTTTTTATGCATGCTTTTTTATTCGATGTTCTGCTGAAAAAAATAAAAACATGTCACAGCTACCGTCACAGAAAGTTTTTTGTTTGGTCTGTTTGCAAAAAAGTTTCCTTTATGAAGATAAAATGAAATTAAACACACGTACACGCGCCCACGCGCGCGCACACACGCCCATACACACACAGCAGCACCCAGGTAATTCAGGCATCTTCAACATCTCCCTTCAGTTGCTGAAGCAACGGCAGCTCTGAGTCATTGATGCATAATGGCCACCTGGTGTGTGGTCAGCTTTCAATCACACGCACGTGGGGGTGGGTAGGGGTGGTAAGTTATCACCACCTACCTGTGGCGTGGACACCTGCAGCACCTGGCCATTTTACCTCTGGACCAAGCAAGTGCCCTTTTGAAAGAAAGTTTTATTTATTTATTTATGTATTTTTTTTATTTTTACATTTTTTCAGTTAATTCGATCAAAAGCATGTGTTAATAATAATAATGCTCTAAAATTCAGCGTTTAAACAAATCGCTGAATACCACTGCGGTCCCTGTAGTACATATACCAAACCTGTATATAGCGCTGTCTCAACCACGCCCTAACACACTAACATCGGAAGTGTTAGTAGCGGAAAAGAGGCAAAACATTTCGTGAAATGTTTGGAAACAGTGTGGCGTGTGAAGTCAGACACTGAAGAAGTCCACCGCTGGTTTTAAAGCTCAAGTGTACAGCGTTGTTCCTCTCTGACAGCTCGACCTGGTCCGGATAAATGACTGAGAGATTGTAAGTGATTTTTATTTCCTACGTTTGGTGATTTGACCATAAGTTTTAACTAGGGATGCACCGAAAATTCGGCCAAAAATTCCGTGCGAAAATGGTCCAAAACTGCGTTTTCTTTTGTGGCTGAAATACGTTTTTATCACCTAAACATGGTTGCTGATTAGCCCAAACCGACTTATGACTTATCAATCTATTATCTACTTATCTATAACATTTTATTCTTTGTGGTCGCCATGCTATTTCTGTCCTCTATCAGGCCGCCGTGCCACTTTTGTCTCCTCCAGGCCGCCGTGCCTCGCTGCATGTGTGCTTGAATATGTTAATTGTAACTGAATTAAAAAAACACAATTGCTTAATTTATTAGATTTACTTCTGGTTGTTCTGCCCTTTCAGTCACGACCTGCTGTATTGACATTTGTGGGTTGAGTTGGAAATTGTCAAGGTGTGTTGTGATGTCCTGGACAATGGAAAAACAACTGACATGTTGGTAAATGCCTTCTGCTAATGTAAAAATGCATGTGTGTATATTACATTTTTGGATAAAATTATGTACATGTGCCTTTAAGGATTTTTGTTCTTTTTAAAGCTCACAGAGCCAGTGGTTCCACATGCAGCAAGGTTTTTCACTGAACACCTGCCCCCCCCGAAAAAAAAAAATGTCACTGCACGCAACTGGTTGTAATGTAAAGAGACAGATTCAGGTCACTCAATCACAGCGGGGATGTCACGTATAGAAAGATAAGCCTAGAAAAAACTGCACGAAGCAGAGAAATAGAATGAGTTGAATAAAAAAATGCTGTAGGAACAAACCATGAAAGAAGAAAAATCTGAGCAGGTAGAAAACGGTGAGATCTAAAGATGTTCAGGTGTGTGGAAAAGAGAGAAAAAACAAAACAAAAGGGGGAGGCACCACAAAAGATGGTGTAAATAGAAAAATAACAAAAACAACAAAACCAGTCAATAACATAATATCCTTAAAAAGATAATAAAATGTATAGCAGTGGAAAAAGAGTAGGGGGTAGAGAGAGTCATGGGGGAGATTGGAGAAAGGGTTAGCAGTGACAGAGGAAGAGGAGAGAAAGTGGAGGGTGACGGTAATTGACATGAAGGGAAAGTGACAAGCGAAAAGATGCGTGTGGGGGGAGGAGAAGAAGAGTCAGGCAGAAAGAGAATTACTATTGAATGAGGAATGTGAGGGGAAAGCTACAAAAGGTGACACACGAGAGAGAGAGAGGGAGAGAGAGAGAGGAGTGAACAGGCTTTCATACCAGTAGACATTCAATATACACGACTGACTTTAAATCATTGAACAAAATAGTCCGTGTAATGACAGGGGATTGTACTCTGATCTGAGTGAATGTTGCCATGAAGTATTTGATGTAGACACAGGAAGTACTGTACTAGCTTTTCTAAAACCACCTCAGATTGTTGCTTAGTTTTTTGTTTTGTTTTTTTTCTTTTTTGTTACCGTAGGAGTGTCTGTGTCTGTTTGTGGTCACCCTCTAAAAATCCAGACCTATCCTAACTGATCCGATACCAACACCGCAACTTGGAGAGTCTTTCAATACTGATATCGATTCTCTTCCAGCAGGCGGTGGGCTCTAAGGCGATAGTGTCCCCGTTTACGGCATGTCGCTCAAGGTTAAGTTGAGTAGTTGTGCTTCGGATATCAGATCGCCTCTGTCTGTCAATGCTATGTTCTGCTGTATGCACTGCTGAATATAAGTCTGAGAGCTGATTGTGAGGATGCTGCAGGTGTGTCTTTGTTCAGTGGGGGTGCAGAACAGTACGGAGAGGGTTTGGTGGGGGTGTGGCTGCAGGAAACTCGACCACGCTTGCTGTCGCAGCAGGACCACAGCACAGGATCTAATGAGTCCCACAGCTGATTATCATAGCAAAGGGCTTGATGTCAATTCATTGTCAATTTCTAGTTTTTGTTTTTCCTTCTATTATATTCCTGAATACTTTGAGATAACGATTCATTCTGATACTGGTTGACCTTCTCTGTGGAACAGAGTTCATTAGTCAAACTGACATAGATGAACCTGTTGTGGTGGTTTGTTTTAATCATTATTGCTTAAAATCTGCAATTTCTTTTTCTGTGCCAGACCTACAGATATTTTACACATATGTAAAAGGCACAATGTTTATTCTTCTTTAGAATAGACAAAAGAATAGAATGCTATGGGCAAAAACATTTTCAGGTTCTCTCTCCTTTTTATTCTTTTGGTTTTTTTTTCTTCCCACTCCCTCACTGTGTAGCTTCTTCCTCATTTGCTATGCTCTTTTAAATGTCCCTCTTCCTGATCCATATTTTTCTCCACTCATTTCTCCCATCGCACTCATCACAGTGACTTCTCTGCCCCCTGCATCATAACCATCACAATCGTTTGCGCCACTTCCCTTCCCTGCCCGATTACTGTTCAATTTTCTTCGCCCCCTCCCGCCCTGTCCCTCGTTTACAGCACAGTATAGGCTGTAATCACATCCACTGGACTGTGATCACCCCTCTCCTCCCCTTCCTCTCCTTTGCCCCCCTTATCCCCTCATTTTCACAAGGCGGGTCACGCCTCTTGAGGCAGCAGAGCAGAGAAATTGCCTGTTATCGGGGGTCGATTTTTCATGCGCTTGTAAATTGCTTTGTATTGACACTCTGTCAGAGTGGGGTCGTCACACCGGCCCGGGCCACTAGCCTCCCCACAGTCACGCTGCTGATCTTGGGGTGCATCCACCGGGAATGAGGGTGTCAGAGGTGTGTGTGTGTGTGTGTGTGTGTGTGTGTGTGTGTGTGTGTGTGTGTGTGTGTGTGTGTGTGTGTGTGTGTGTGTGTGTGTGTGTGTGTGTGTGTGTGTGTGTGTGTGTGTGTGTGTGTGTGTGTGTGTGTGTGTGTGTGTGTGTGTGTGTGTGTGTGTGTGTGTGTGTGTGTGTGTGTGTGTGTGTGTGTGTGTGTGTGTGTGTGTGTGTGTGTGTGTGTGTGTGTGTGTGTGTGTGTGTGTGTGTGTGTGTGTGTGTTGGCTCTAATCTTTAAAGTGCAATGTCGCCTGTGTGTCTGAGTCATGCATTTCTGGTGGCACAAGAGAAGCTTTTGTTGAGGGTTGCTGAACAAAAGTTGGGGTTGGAATAACAATACCAACATCAGCTGCTTCTGCTTTGTTTAAAACATTTGTTGTTATTGTCCAATTATATTTAGCCTATTAAAAGGTATGTGGGGAAAAAACATTCATTTTATTTTTAGATAACTGTTAAATAAATATGAAAAATTAAGTCTTGCTTTCACTGCTACTTTGTATGAAGTTATGAAATGAGAAATAAAAAAAATTGAAGCTTTAGTGTACTTCTGAAGTTATGAAATGAGAAATAAAAAAATTTTAAGCTTTATTTTACTTCAGTGTATAAACATTTGCGGATTTTTTTATCTTTATTGTCGTTTGACTAAAGTAGTAACCCATATGTTCATCCATTCATCCATCCATCTGTCTCTTCACTCATCCATCGATTTCTTTATTCATTTATTTTGGAAGGATTCTACATCGCAAGGGCACTGATGTCAAAACCAAGGATTTCTTACTACAAAGCTGTGGAAAATTGGAAGTAACTTTAAAAAGTATATTTTGGTTTGTCCAACCTCTTTTAGCTTTGAGTTATATGGCACCTTTAATTACAGTATCTGTACCATGGTTACAATAATCATAATTCCTGAGTGATATTGTTTTACAAAAAAAAATACTAGGTAGTGGAAATTAGATTTGATTTTCCAGCAGAGTTTCAAAAGCAGCTATTATTGGATCATATGTTTTCCTGTTCGAGGTGTCAGGACTTATGGGACTCTAACAAAAACACTGTGTGTTTATGTTGACCAGACTTATTCTCTGGGTGAACCACCGGATCTGGTTCAGCCCTTAGATGTGTGGGAGGCAGCAGACATATACTGTACTCATGTTTCTGCTCACCAGGACTTAAGTGTGGTTTCATCTCCATGGCAAACTGTGTCAGTGTCTGCATCTGACACCCACTCTCTTGGTAGGGTGGCACAACTGAGGCTGCACTGGCGCAGATCTGACACCAGACTTTCGCTGTGAAAAGCTGGAGCAACATGGAAGCTGGTAAAACACACACATAAGAAGCCAACAGTTAGAGGGAAGAAATGGAAGAAAGGATGGAAAAATGAGAGAACGTACACCTCATGAACAGGAAGTAGAGCGAGTCAGAGGATATGTGAGGAATCCAACACTGTTTTTGAGAAGGAAAAAAAAAGCAGAGTGAGTCCAGATGTGGTGTGAAAATGATGGGAGAAGAAAAGGCAGAGACTGATAAATGGGCTGAGAAAAAATGAGGAATGCCTGTGAGACTTTCTTCCCTCCTTCTGCTCTCACCAGTTCAGAGCCAAGCCAGCCTCCCTTTGGCAGACATCTCCACCTCCACCTCATCACTTGCTCTCCCTCACTCTCTCTCTCCTCCCAATATCCTCCCGCTACCCTCCTCCTCCTCCTCCTCCGTCCTGTATGGCACACAGCTGCTTACACGCTGCCCGTGCAGTGGGCTTCACTCATTCATCTGCTGTGAGTTTGTCCAGAAATAACCCCTTAATCTGCAACTATTTTATCTCAGGGCACATTAAATCTGCCCCTGCCAGGACTCTCCATCTGAAAATACTCTGATCATTCATCTAACTCATATATTGCAACCAGGGCACAAGGTAAAGATAATAGGGCATTAAACTTGAAAAGGAGTTGGTTAGCTCCTCCCTTGGCCCCACCCCCTAACACGCCAAACAAGCTTTGAAAAAACCTTAATAATTGTAAGATATTTGAGTGAGAGAACTGAGGCAGCTTATCTTGACTGAAACTTTAGAACTCAGACTCATGGACTTTTAAAAAAACCTTTCCATGACCATTAGGAGCCTTTAATCGATACATTCATTAACATACATATTAAAGAAGATTAACCATATTTCTATTTAACACATGGATGAACAACAGAAGCTATAAAAAATGTAGAGAAGT